GGAAGAGGGGGCACGCCGGTGGCTGCAGAGGCTGACGTGAGTAACTGGGGGGTGTTTCGTGTCATTCTGCTGAGCAGGGCCTACGGACGGGCTCCCTCTTCTTCCCGGGGGGCAACGCCACCTACCAAGGGGAGCAGGTGGCCGTGTCTGCACAAGTACAACAACGAAACGGAGTGGCAGCAGAACATCGACACGGTCATGGACTGGTTCCTGAAGGACGGGCTCGACTTTGTCACTCTCTACTTTGGGGAGCCAGACTCCACGGGACACAAGTACGGCCCCGAATCCCCCGAGAGGAGAGCCATGGTCAGCCAGGTGGATCGAACGGTCGGCTACCTCAGGAGACGCATCCAGGAGCATGGCCTGGAGGCGACGCTCAACCTGATCATCACAGCTGACCACGGGATGGAAACGGTCATAAAGACGAACGAAATCCACCTCCTCAAGGTGCAGAACTTCTCCTTCAAGGACATCCAGTTCGAACTCTTGGACTATGGCCCCAACGGGCTGCTGGTGCCAAAAGAAGGGAAACTAGAACAGGTGTACCAGGCCCTGAAAAACGCCCACCCCAAGCTCCACGTCTACAAGAAGGAAGAGTTCCCCAAGAGACTCCGCTACGCCAACAACACCAGGCTCACGCCCCTCATGATGTACAGTGACCCCGGATACGTGATCCATGGGGTAAGCTGTGGACGCAGCCTGTTGTCTGAACTTGGACTTGCCTGTCTCACCCCCTTTCTTTACTGCGCATCTGCCCGTATCTTCTGGTCGGGCCTCTGTGTCTGCTCCCTCTCTCTGCCGACAGGAAGGGGAACGCAGACACAAAAGCCAGCTCCTAGGACACTGGCCGACCGCGTTCCACCCCAGAGAACAGAGCAGCCAGGAATTCTTAAAGGCACAGCGACTTTTTTTTTTTTTAACAACTTTTGTCTACTTGGTTTTTTGCTCAACCAAGTTTGGTCTCCCGGGTTTGTTTGGGTTTTTTTTTTTTTTTTTGGAGATAAAGACTGTTGCCCAGGGGAACAGAAGTTGATTTCTTTTATTTCAACACGTGCAATGGGATATTTACTTTCTACTCAGGACAGAGAGATTGAAGTGATTTCTGCTTTTTATCTCATCTCAAGCAGATCTTAATAGGCTGGTATGATCTTGGAAACTGTAGTGTCTAAATTGCTTGAAGTCTGGTGGGAAACTGAAACCCCTATTCCATTTTCTTTCTATTTTCAAGTCTGTTAAAACCCAGAATAAATTCAGACTCTAACATAATTTTTTATTACTAAGGATAAACTTATACATTTATTTTCTTAAGATTTGCTGCTGCTTTTTGTTAACAGTTGGCATGGCTGTGTGTGATTTTTACTGGTATTTGCTTCTTGCAGTGGGATTGAAGTTGAATTCTGTGGACCCAACAATGAGCATTGACCTGAAATATTTGGGTGTGCAGCTCCCGCTCTCCTACTCAAACTGCGATCTTTTGACTGGCGTGCAGGCGATGGGGTGGGGCCAGGAATGGGAGGGGGCTCAGGGCGGAGGCCCAGGCTGACTTCCAGCGGCTCCCCCCCGGCCGTGCTGCAGCGGGGCTAAGGCAG